TGTGCTTCCTAGTAAGCTGCCGCTAGAGCCCTCAGTCAATTTTGGGTGTTTCTGGAGTCCAGTGAAAACACCAGAAAGATGTGGGCTGCTTCTCTTCTCAGAGTAGTAAGCACAGGTTAAATGGCCTTTCCTGACTGGCACATTTAAATCCCTTTATGGTGGAAACCTGTTCAGTTTATGCACCCGGTTGGGGACCTGTGATAACCCATGCATAGGGGAGGCATGGGTGGCTGACTTCCCTGACCAGAGAAGACTCTCCATGAGTCCCAAGTTCATGGAGCAGAATAATAGCTTTTAGTTCTGCTTGTTAGCAGAACAGCTGTTTTTTCCGGACAGAATCCAGGCTAACCTTGAGGCCCTTTAGGTAGGGTTCTCTGTGTTCTCCTACTTTTGATAGGCCTGTTGCACTTAGTAGCACTTTTTTCTCCCCCTGGCTTGGGACTGCCGTATCTTTCCAATGCTCTGTTAAAGCCACAGCCAATCTTGCTGCAGGTATTCTAGAACTGATTAGAGCTTAAACTTTTTGCAGACTGCACAAAGCCCCCTGTGGATTTAGGGACCAAAAGAGAGAACAGAGGTGGAAATTGGGGAGGGGGGTTCCTTGCTTGGTAATGTTACTCTTGGTGGTTGAGGCAGTCCAATGATTCCATCTCCACTTGATAAGAGGGCATGAGAGGAGACACCCAAGGTGGTTTTGTTGTTGCTGTGGGGATGGGATTGCTTCTCTGACCTACGAGATGTGTAGCACTCCTCTGCAGATAGTTATACAGTTCTGGAGCACCCAGATCCTGTGACTGTTGGGCATTTGTTATCTTAACACATTGCTTGTAGTAAGAACTCTGCATGAAAGAGAAGAAACCCAAGGACTTGGAGGTGGATTTGCTTTCACCATTTTTTTTTAAATAAATGGATGCTTGGCATGCAAAAGCCCAGCCACATAGTTTGTTCTAACTTGGTGAGAATATTTTGTTTGAAAGGGAGCGTCCACTTCTGCTTGAGGCTAGAAGTTCTTCTTCCTGACAGCCTGTAGCTTGCAAAACCTGACTTTGAATAACCTTTTTGCCCTGTATATTTTTGGCCTTCTAAAATATTCCCAACTATTTACCTTCAAAACGTGCATTTCTTCTGTTTGTTTTGCTTGCTATGGCTAATGAAAATAGACCAGCCAGGTGGCTTCACTTTTCAGGCCTTCTGTGTTAACACAAATTTCCTTGCATGGCTGCATATGCCGCAGGGGATGGAATGGAAACAAACCCACTTGAAAACAAAAGTAGCCATTTTATGCTTTTGTGAAAATCCTGGTCTTCGAAACTAGAATTAGGACTTGAGATACCAAGAATCCCATTAAAATGGCGTATTTTTGCAAAGACACTTTAAAGCCATGCGGGTGTTTGAAATGTATTTGGAGAAAAGCAGAGGTTCA